ATAAGCCCATTCCTAACCCCCTTGATGAATGAGAATCTTCCACACCCTGCCCAAGAGGAGCAGACACTAATTCTGGTGATGTTATGGTGAAATTCGACACAAGGCCATCAGAAACATCAGATGGCAGTGCCTGGGTCCTGCTGATGCACCGTGACTCAAGCGCTTGACTATATTCTAGGCACCAATTCGAATGGGACGGCTTGCGTCTGCAGCGACAACCGCAAAGGACCAGAACGCAGTTGTCATGGCCCAAATGTGGCTCTGATCATCCCTTGCAGCTTTCATCTGCGTCAATTTGCGTGCTGCAAGTCAATGATAATGGAGGCATTGTAGCTCATCTGCACCCAGTGCAAATATTTAATAATCCGCGTTCTCGTCTTATTTAACCGTTTGTTAAAACGAACTTAACAAGCCTGCACAGCCACCGCTTATAAATGCCAAAACTCAGATGATGCTTTATGAATGCAGTACTCATGGTCAATGGGCTATAAATTGTTTTAACTACAAGCTCATTGACAGTCACATCAGGAAACCTCAAGAGGATCTTTCGGCCACCGAATATGATTCCTCTCCCTCCTAAATGCACATGACAGAATGCAAAGTTGTTAAAAACGAAACTACCTTCGGAGGAACAAGCGTCTTGGCAGGTGGCAGAGTAGGCAGCGAGGCACCGAAGAATGTGTTTTCTAGCCTTTGAATGAAACGAAGTAAAATTATAACAATCATGATGAAGATAGTGTTTATGCAAAAGGCGAGAAGCACCTCACAAAATAAGCACTTATGGATGTATAAGTGGTAGCATGCACAGCAAGCCAGTGAAAGACATAACCGCTCAAAGATGATATGAGCAAGAACAGCGAACCGCATACAACTGAGGAGTTCGCCTACCAATCCATATTAGAGTATTCAACTTGACAACCACTTCAAAGAGAATCCCAAACTTGAACACACGGATTAATGGAAAACTAAATGCTATCGCTCAAATACACAACGAACACAGGACCGTAATTTTGACCATTGCAAGTCAAACGTCAGAGACCACAATCAGTAAACCAGGACATAGGCACAATTGACACAACACCCACCTTGTTGTTCGGCTTTCCACCCCTACCATAAACTACGACAGCAGCATACGCTCTGCAAACAGCCTTCACCGGACTCCGATCCCGGAAATCGGCTCCTCCTTCGGCGGCTTTTACCAAAGCACAGACGAGAGTTGTTAGGACATCCAGAGCCACCTCCAACATCTCCGAAGCCAACTCGTCTGCTGGTTGTCTGAGCAAGTAGTCAGCCAAGCATTCGGTCAATGCTGTCAGTATGTATAGGCCGTTGCGGCTATAGAGCTCAATCAGTGCCAGTCCACCCTCGTCTTCATCGCGGCGTTGCGCCAAATGACCGCGTATCAATCGAAGGAGAAGGAGGAGGGCTGAAGGGATGGCACGAGCCGCATTAGATGAGCTCGAACGCGGCACACTTGACGGCGAATCAGTCATGGAGCGCTCTAGGGCGTCTGTCAGTGGACCCAATTGATCGAGGAGCCAAGAGAAAGTCTCACGAGGTGTGTGAAGCGACAGCAGAGGAGCCTCGCGAAGCCAGTATAGCCAGGAAGAAGCAGCCTCCGAAAAATTCCGGTGGTGAGAAAAGATCAGAGCAGGCGACAGACTAGAGACAGCTTCCTCCCAAGGGGTCTCTAAAGTGTCCGAGGTAGATAAGATCAGGTTTCAGGTTGAAGAAGAAGGTGCTACCACAAAGTAGAGCAAAATACCAGCAAACAGAGTAAATACAATTACACATGCCTCGGCTAAATCCTCGGTTCTGAAAGCTGCAGTATTAAATTTCTCCTCCTGTGGGCAATTAAGTTTGCAGGTGGCTTTAATAGAAGGGGGTGCTGAGGTTGATACCTTGAAGAACAACTCAGCGTCTTGGGTGCGTGATTAATGGGAAAGCAGGTGACGCCACCTCGACTTTTGGTTATGTTAAATGTACATCACTTGTGTGATTGATAAATTTGTGTAAAATTGCATGCCACACCACCATCTCCACTTAAACGAGCAACGCACATGCAACAAGCGTAGGAGTGAGAACGGTGAGCTCGCGGCACCAGTAAAACGTGTTCCGAACAGATGCCGATGAGTACACAACAATTGCCCATGACCACAACTAATGCTTTAGCCGTATTTATCATTTACAATTTACATGGCATTAGCAGAAGCTTATTCGAAATTGGTAACGGATCTTACGCTGTACTATTTGCAAAAGCCGAGGTCCAAACCGCTCCAAATAGTGCACATCATCGGCATGTCGAAGGAGGCCAATTCCAATGATTGACAGAAGACTGGATACCTCCAAGCGTGTACTTGAGTAGCCGAGTCGCAAGAGGAAGGATTTCCGAACTTCAGATAGCTCCCGTTGTGACGACTCTTTCATATCCGGTTCACACTTTTCAGCAGCTGTCACGAAATCGAATAATTTAAATAAGAGCAAGTACTTTCTCAATTACTTGGCACGCATTCCAGGTTGCACAACAGATTCCGAAAGTGACCCCTAACTAGTTTTGCAAAATATTCATTATTTTCAGTTTGGTTGCCAAGCTAACATAAGAAAAACGGAAACCGGAAATAAGCGGTGTTACACATGTCGTACCGAGCCCAACGTGAAATTGTGTCCCAATGCGCTCGTTTCTTTCATATTTCCGTTTTTGAAGTTTCTGGTGTGTAACATAATCATTCAATACACCAGCCATGATGCGAACTACCATATTACCTAACTAGCAAGTATCCGCAAGTCAACTTTCATTTCACAATGTTTTCCAAATGAAATGAACATGGGGAATAAAAGACGCCAACGAAAATTGGCAATATGAAATAACTATAAAAAACGTAGCCTATACACATTTTGCTAAGCCCTCATTGTGGTATGCGATGTCAGCCACATCAAACTGAAATCGGGAGACGGGGCAGACTATGCAATGAAAGTAACTGGACAAAAATTCCTCACATTTTTCACTGTCGTCTTCAGATTTGGCTTTGGTTTTAGGGTCCCCTTTTACTTGTCGGTCATAGGCCTCGAAAAGCATGAGACACGGTACGAAGAAATCGTCCGATGAGAGTAGACTAGCGACCCAGGGAGCAAATTTTGGCTCTAGAAACAGTCGTGCCAGACCAAAGAGCGCGTCGTAGATAGGGTCAGGAGAGGTCGACAGCACTGTTCCGGCCTCCTTGGCTTCCATATCCACGCGAACACTTTCGCCGATGTAACTCTGACAGCCTGTTTCGCCTCCATGAAGGGAAGAGGAGGGAGAAAAATGAAGGCGAAGGGGGAAGGGCAACAGGCGGAAAAGAGATTTGGCCATTTAGTAAAACTGTGGTGCTAATACTGTTAACAAGTACACGTTTAATGAGGCCGGCTAATAAGCTGAATTAATTTAAAGATAAGCATTGTGTAAAAGTTTGACCAGGAGAGTATGCAGAGGCCAAAATGCCATGTACCTGTTAATCAAAAAAAGTTCTCCCTTACTGCATAAAAAAACACTTCAATGCCATTCACCTTAGGTGAAATTCAACGCAAATGGTTCATTAGAAAAGATAACTTAAACGCATGCATCTATAACTCCACTGGTCACAGTCTCTCTGCGAATCATAATTCTCTTAATTGATTACCTCAAATTTGACATGCGCAGTTACTAGAAAGAAAACCAAGTCTGCAAGTAATTTAACATCTTAACCACAAACGAAATGTGGTAGTATAGTCCTGTGTAAAGAAAAGAAACTATGGAATGATCCGATCAAATTCGAGAAAGAGCCAGTAGCAATATTATTGCCGATAAAAACTTCCACCAACAAATCCTCCATGGCGAACAAAAAGGTTAGATATTAAAGTCATGGAAGCAAACATTTCCCAAATAGACCTCAAGAGTGTAAAGGAGGCATAGTCTCCATGACCCACACGGAGAAAAAAGGCACGACGTCGTGTTCTGTGCAATAGCATGTTTCACGGACATCGTGATCTGCGTGGCGTAATTTGCTTCAACCTCTGCGGTTAAGGTTGGTCAAAGGCCCTTGAGTAGGGCATTCGCCCACTCCGTACGATTGAGTGTCCACACATACCGCACACTCCCGCCGCCCCGAGCCAATTTCGCATCGTGATTTCGAGGAAGTCTTACGCACACCATGCAAAACACAGTCAAAAGACCGAGCTAAAGGTCGGAGACCGAAATGGGAGCTTCGTTTAATGCAAAAACTCCAAACGTGCAATAAGGGGATAATAAAGTCCATAGTTAATTCAAGCGATTGTGGCCTTTGTGTTCCATTGATTTCGGCTCAGTTTTCACCGCCAAATTCAATACTTTTTGTCGTGCTGAAATTTTCCATAAGGAATCAAAATAATTTGGTTTCCTAATGTAAACTCCCGGATCCATTGCGCTCACGGATAAAAGGTGAGTACAAACATTTATGGTTTAAGTGAGAGTGCGTTGCCTATAACTCACCTTTGCTTCGAGTTGCAGCAATGAGCAAATCAATATGCTCAAGAGCTTCTAGCTTGACTGCTAACTCCAGGCCCAAATTCTTCAAAGGCTCTCTGCTTCCCCTAGATAGGAGGAATCGCAGAAGACGAGCAGTAGAAAGTGGCGAAGATGCAAGAAAAAGGAGACCTGAAGGTTTCTCGACTAGATCTTCAAGAACGCCGAATGCAGCCTCAGACGAAACACCCGGAAACACGTGGTTTTCATCTGTCTCCACTAGCCACACGACGTGGTCGAGGAAATGACTAAACATCAAAGTAAATCCCTTGTTTTTGTGGAAAACTGATCCCAGCTACATGTGCAACGCAAAATAAAGTTGATGTTGGGGCGCTCAGGGCTCTGACGCGACAGTCAATAGTTGGTCAAAGGAGTGCACTTAACGAAGACCTTTCTACGGTTTAAATATATGCAGTGGGAACAACATACCCCGTGAAGTTGCCACGGTGAAAGCGAAATGGCATATATGTAGAAAATAAATTGCTACCGTCACATCCTGCACCACAACAATTCAAACGTACATTGAGTCAAAAAGCCTGTAGAGTATTGGGTAGAAGTCGCTAGTAAACTTCTCTGACTTCACTTTCGGCGCTCCATTTCTCGGGGATAACTAAAATAGGTAGGTCAATTTACTATCTGCAGCACTTTGTAAATTCAATGTGGGTCGGAATTTGTGAGCAGCAGTTTTGCTTTGTTTTAAAATTGCTCTTGCCTCACATCGGATTTATCGAAATTGCTGGCAAGCCCCTTTACCAAATCCCCAAGGGGCAACTCGAAGTCGAGTCGAACTCCCAAAATGTCCAATTTCTTATTAAAAGCCAATTTTTTTCCTAGCAAGACAAACGAACACACGAATAAATATCACCATTCTCTGTTAACAGTTAGAGTTCAGTTCTGGAGAGGTATTTGCTTATCTTCCACAAATGTGACTGTAATATTCAAATGCTGAAGATCACGTTTGTTGTTGAGCTACTAATTAATATTAGGAATAATGGACCACACGAAAGAGCGCGTTAAAGTACACTCGGCCACAGATGTTTATCATGAAGTCCCTTATAATTTTAAACCTAAAGTAAAATGCGATATTTTGCGAAAATGCTATGCCCGAAAGTTGTGCGAAACCGCTACTCACAAATGTTGGCCCACAAAGTAGATGTCGACTTCAAAAAGGCAACCTTACTTGAACTAAATCAGGTTTCTCAATTACACGCGCGATCTCAGTCAAGTAGGTCTGAAGCGAACGCTCCCTGTTTAGTTGTTCATCCATTGAAGGCTCATTACCTGCGGACTTAAGTCTACGGGAAGTTAAAAGGAGAATTTACAGAGACGAGGACAGATGATTAATTGGTGTAACACAAAAGACCAAACCCACTGTTTCATAAATTCATCGAATTCGAGAAGCATTTCGTAGACACGAATTTTCGCAAGAAGGCGACAACAAGCCAAAGCAATAGGAGTCGACTAAAAGAAAAGTTCAAATTTTGGTTGCTACGTTATGACCCAAAGGTACGAATAAGACAGAAACGGACAAATTCGGTTATGGACGAATCTGGAAACATTACATCAAAAAGAAAATTCACAGTCAGATTAAAATGCATATTTTCCACGAACTTCCACAATCAACACGGCTTTTGATTTCGTAATTCGCCATTTGCCCTGAAGCACACTTACGATTTCCAGAAAAAAGGTAACACACACCAGATATCCCTAGACCAAATGTTTACGGATTACTTTTAATAGCTATAGATTATCATTAATCGAAATTTCCGGGGGCAGAACTCACCTGGAAAAATCTACATCCCAACTTAGGACAGTTTGGGGATTTCATTTACTTTTTAACCACAATTAATGAGATTGGTTGCAATTTACGTCAAGACCAAGGGCTGGAAGGGACCATAAATATGGACGTTGAATACATTAGTTTGACCAGTCAAATTTAAGCATAGAGAATAGTACAAAAAAGATTTAGCGGCTTAGGTTGGCAATGGCCTCTAAAGAAACGGTTTTGTCCGGAATAATAAGTACATTGCAAATCCAAAATAAACATACGTTGAATGTACAGTATCACAGATAAATTCAGATTGATTTGGAGACAACGTTTAGCAACTTGAACAAACACGACTAGAATAATGTGCCTAGACGTGAAATCATGATGTTCTTAGGTCGGCTATTTATAATTGATTGAGCTTAATGACTGCTAGCATTCGTCAGCTTAGAATGTGCGGTCCACATTTTGTACGCCTAGTACCTAGTCATTTCCTTAGATGCCGACTAGTAGTTGGTAGTCTTCATACCTTTCCTGTATGCATGGCTGAGTCGAGTTTAACCGGAAAACACAACACAACACAGCATAAAACGAACATGTGCTCCTGGTCTTTTCGATTCATTACTGTCCTCTGGGCTTCTAGACCAGCCAGAAATGTCAACGCGTTTGTAACGTATGAAGCAAACAACGCTGCATGCAAGCTACCAATACATACTAACCTTGTTAGAAGCGAGGAAAAGAATGATTCGTTGGTAAGGTGTCAGTTGCTCGCCTTCTTCCTTACTGCTAGCGTCAGTAATGGGCTTCCCAACAAAAGCCCTGAATCCAACAGGCAAACTCAAACTACGCTCCAGTACATTGATTATGAGCATTCTTAACGGAGTGGCAATGAGAGGCGAGTCAAGAAGAGAGATGAGCATATGCTGGGAGTGGAAGGCCGAGGGCAACTCATGGTTCGACCTCATGGCCTCGAGGAGGTGCCAGGGTGCTGGGACGGATTGGAGGAACTTCGCACAAACTTCCTCGCACGTGGTGGACATGATCATACCCAGTAACTCTACCCCGGTGCGTAAGTGCCGAAGGATGTAGGTTGAGTCGGGCTGCTTAAGTGCTGAGTCCAAATCGAGGCCGGCGTAGGTCCACACAAGTAGGCAAGTTATCACGACTAAAACCGGGCTGATGATTTAATGTCTCCAGAATAAATGAACTGTCAACAATTGACCTATAAATTACAGTTACTTACATTCGTAAGCGTCATGTTCATGCAACGATAAGTAGGCAAGACCAGATGGTAAAACGTTCGTAAGCTTTTCAATGGCAATTACCCACCTGAAAATGAAACAGGGAGTTAAAGGTTAGACGTGAAAAGGGAAATTGGTAACAAAAAAGTAGTAGGGATAATAATAACTAACTCAGCTCCGAATTTGTCAGCTTCTATGCCAAACTCATCGCTGGCACTAAGGAGGTAGTCTGCGTCTAGTTTGGACAGAGCGAGATCTGAGGGTGGTGGTGTTAATAAAGATGCATCACCGAGTTGTAGTTGGGAGACTTCCTTTTCTTCGCCACGGAAACAGTCTGTTTGGCCGGTTGAAAGTAACCAATGATGTACCTTAAAGATTAGGATCACGAAAAAGTTATAAATAGTCTTAAATTCAACTAATGGGTGATGCGCTAAAACAAATTTGCTAAGTTCACATGCTTTAATAAACTATCATACCTACGTAGTGCATATGCGCTCAGTCGGGTAAGTGTGTAGGGGACGCAGATGCTTACTTTACAAGTGTGACTCACGAAATCGACATTTCCACAGACTACAACGAGTGATGAGACCCACCTCATATAGAGTAAATGCCGGATTGGGAAGTCTGCGTCGATTAGTGGCGGGCAACGAATTTTCAGGAAGATCGATGAGAGAAAAAGGATTAAATCTCCATCGACACGAATCCAAAAGGAGGTCGGCTGAATCCATATGACCGAGATTCTTAGCCATATTCTAGTTACAAAATTAGTATACATTAGGGAATGCTTAGTCTTTTTTGATATGAAAAAATAACACTAGGTTGTGCGGTAGAAAACGACTATACTCTACTATACGGTTTGAATCAAGTATGAATTCAGAACATAAGCCATAACGGGAACGAAACTTATAACACACCAGTTCTTTAAAAAAACGCCTTTGGCACTTACAGCTGCAAAATTCTAAAAAGCGCCTCTAAATTGTGATGAAAGAATAACGAGCAAAGTTAATTGACAGACCCGAACTCGACTTACTGAATCAGCATCTTCGTTTTCAGAAAAGAGATCATCGTTGGAGGAAATTACATCATAGTCCATATCCTACAGTATAAAGATTAACGGTAACCAGTTCTGCACAGCTATGACAAATGTTCCAAAAGAATCCCGCTCCATATCACCTTAAAAAAAGCTACCTGGATCTCTCCATCTTCGAACCCATAGACTGTCTCGTTAGAACTTTTGGCAAGCAATTCACCCGACTTCGGCGCGTTTGGTTTAGCAGACGTATTCGGAAAAACAGGAGTTTCAGTGGTGTGCAACACACTCGCCTGAGAAGGCCAGTTTGAACCATTCGAAGCCTGAAACGAGATCAAGGCATTTTTACTTAAACAAGCCTGTCAAAATAGCGGCACATTTAATAGCGTGCGCCTTTACCTGCGAAATTTGAGGGGCTGACTGAAAGGTTCCGTCGCCGCTTAGGGCATGTGACACAGCATAAACTGACCCACCAGAAACTAAACGTAATTGACAATACGCTATACTTTACCTGGCACCAGTGGAGGGGGGGGGATAGAAAAGTTTGGAACAGTTAATCCAGACTGATGTAATGGGGAGAGATAGGGCATCCCGAATAAGGCCACAGTTATGGTCGAGTAGTTTCCCCGTAAAAGGAGGAAGTTGGTCGTAACCTAAATTTATTATCAAGATACACAACGTACCGATTGTAAAAACGGAATACAACAGATTCCATTTGATTCATTGTAATTACACCTTTAAAATGAATTAAAGTGAGAAATCACTTACTCAGATATTTGTTGTAAAGTTGATGATGTAGTGTCAGTGTAGCCATAAAACTTAACGTCGAATGACGCTGGGTTAGTTGTCCTAAAAGTAAAAATAATAGGAATGATTAAGGTCGAACCCAATAACCGCTTCGTCGGATAAGTTGCTTTCAACAACAGAACCAAAGGGAATTATCCGAATTTCTGAAAGGCTAACAAGGCTTGGAAAGCGAACGAAATTGAGGTTGTTCTACACAGTTAAGGCTAACAACTTTATTACTTGACCCTGTTCATCAGCACTAAATGTGTCGAAGAAAATTAGTAAAGGACCACTCATTGTGCACAACTAGGCTTGAAAAAGATTTAGAAAAGGCTAACGGCTACATTTCAAAAATTCCGCTATGAATAGCCGGCGTATTGGAAATCAGAAAATGCATGAAAGATTCTAATTCAATGCAGTTAAATCTCATACAAAGAAATATCAGTAGCTACGAGGCAAAAAAAAATCAAGCACTGTTTTAAATGCAATGAAGCCAGAGAACGTGGCCGAACTGAGTAGCGCCAGGCAGATGGTTCTGGATGTAAAGGGTAAAAGTAATAGACGCAGTTGAACCTCTTGAAATCATAAAAGGACCATTAAACTTTCCCAAAAAAGATTATTATCCTGAGGAATCACAGTTATATCAAAAAATTATTGAATCTTTAACAAACAATATAAAACAATTGAATAAAAAACGATTAATAAAAGCAATGTAGACATGTATTCAATAAAATGCTGATTTTCAAATGCGAAATAAACTCTTTTTTCAGTACAGCCATCCATCAAAAGAGCAGAAAACAAAGATCACACATACAATTAATTGAAATAAAATATCTTAATAATACCGAACACAATGTCCATTAACCACCCTATCGGAGGCAGATGATTAGCGAAGTCAAATGTAGAGTGGCTTTGTCTGTGAGTTGAAT